TCTTTGAAACATACAGATCCATCCAAATTTTCTAAAGAACTAAAATTATCACTTCAAATTATTTTTATATACCTTTGGTCAAAAGATACTTGACCAAACATTATCATAAACAGAAGATATTATTAAAAACATAATCTAACATTTATTAGAACAAGAAATGATGGTCTTTTATAGATTTAGTTATGTACAGAGTATCATATTCTTAAACATTAAAGTTTCATCACATGTACAATCTATGTGTTCTCCCTTCTTCCTCATCAGGATCTCGGAGACGATTAAGGGAAGATCATCCTCAGTGAAAACCCAGAAACCAGATGACAAAGTTTATGCAACCCTAAAATCAATAACCTGATCTTAAAGGAAAAATATGAGAGCCACTTTGACCTGAAGAAACGAACCGCCAACACAAAAAAGCAATCACTGAACAATTCTGAATGCAAATACAGCAGTTTTTTTTCTGAATGAAAAACATGAGGGAAATTGTGGGTTTAGCCTCCTGTGGGTTAGGGGAGCCTAACACCTTACAGGCTTGTACATCCTGACATTACAATTTCTGGCTAACTTTGGAATCCATCAGAGGAAATCCTTGTCACTGGATTCATTACAATTCAAATCACAGAGTGATGAGCTGTTATACCACTGAGAAGATGGAGCCTTGAATTTATATAATGGATAGATAAAATGCATGCAAGGAGTTACCGGTCCATGGGAAATGGATAAATAAAAGCGGATGCTCAGCATTAAAAAATAATAACAAAAACAAAACTTTACATCAAAACGCTTTGCAATTTTTAATACAATGTGGGTTTACCAGTAAATTATGCTATTTCTACAACTCATTTTTTACTCTTGAAATGTTTGCCTTATGCTTCTTGCAATACATATTTTTATCTCAAACATTTCAATAAATCCATTTTTCAGGTATAAAGAGAATTACTTCAAATTGGGTTATTCAGAAAACTCAAGATTTAAGTTAATAAGAGGTTTGGACTTGTCAACAGGACTTTATATCTGTCTTTTTTAAACAAATACTCATTAAAGGAAATTGAATGAATCTAGTGTGTTTTGAATTTTTAAAACTATATGCTATATAAAGAATTATTATACAATGAAGCAATAATTAAACATCAGCTGAGTATATAACATTACCCTGAAACTGTGCTAAATTGTGAGGGTTCAAAAGATGAATCAGACAACTACTACCTTCAAAGTGTAAAGAGACAAATCACCAATAATCCGCAGTGTACCACGGGCTGTAACAGAGGAATAAACAGCACTACACAAGCACAAATACACCAATTAAATATTCCTAGGCTTGTGCTAGCATAGAAGGAGCCACAGAGATGCCCTTAACTAAGCCTTGAAGAGTCTACTGCATGGCAAAGGAGGGGAAGAAAAATATTTGCTTGCTGAGAATGAGAAGGCGATCAGTTTGATTACTCAGATCTCAACAAGCATCATCCTTAGATTGGACTAGTTGAGATAAGAGCAAACAGAGAAGAGAATCCATACTGCTGAGAAACCGAGTGGTGACAGTGTAATACACTGTACCGTGCAGTGGAAGCTGGTCACTGACACTGTTTAAGACCGAGGAAGAGCAAACTGAAGATGCCAGTCTTGACCACAGGTGTCCAGCTTGCATCGGAGGCTCAGTCTAGAGTAACACTAAGGACCTGATAAGATTTGGGGTAGCTGAAAAGCACTGGTTCTCTGAGGAGCAACTGGGGTAAGGAAGTGAGATGTAAAGTTCTGACAGTGCCCCTGACGGAGGAAGTGCTGGATAGCCTGGGTTTTCCAGAACGCTTCCTAGTCTGGGTCGGGACTGAGATCTATGTCTAGCATTTAGAGCCCCTGCCAGGAAACAAAACATCCTACCAACTCAGTACTCATGTAGAGAATCTTCAGACTTCAGTCTCCACTGGACAAAGTGTGGCCATGACTTACCCAGAATGATTCAAAGGAGGTGGTTACGTAAGGTGGTGCTGGTAGAATATACTACACTGTCGTCAACACAAATGGCTGTTCCGACAGATAGCATGTCGATAATGATTCTCTGGAAGATCACCGGTTGATTGCACAGAACAAAGAGTGTACGGATTCATTCATTTAGCCCCTTCAGGCTTTTAAGGCCCTGCTTATTCTTATTGTTATCATTCTTATTCTTATTCTTATTGTTTTGGCTAGTATACATACAAAAATCTAGCATATCTCTGATAAAGGACAGCCAAGTGACACATGCAAACGTACTGAAGGATGAAAGTTAAAGAGAAATTATTAATAAAAATATAAATAAATCAATCTATAATAAAAATGAGAAATACGGTTAAAATACATGAATAAAGAAGAATTTAAAACTGCAAAATAAGAATCTAAAATAGGTAAGTAGACTGATAAACAAACAAACAAATAAATAAGTAAATAAAATAAAGTTCAACCCTACTGGAACACTTGCTACAAATCGAAGCTGTAGAGTAGCATGTGATTTACACACAATACTTACTCCTTTACAAATCCTGAAGTTTTATTATCTCAGATTTTATATTTAAAAAATGAGCCTCAATGAATTTACATCACTTTTCTTTCTCCTTTTGCCCTGTACTCTCAAATCAGGCCATCAGTCAATTTACCACATGCCCACGACCCAACAAGCACAAACCTGAGTAGAGCAAACATGTCTGTTTTCAAAATTGTGCTTACTCTGCACTATGTAAGTTCTTTTTTCTAACCAACCTCTGCATAAGAGGGAACTTAAGACTGAATTTTACTGTAAGTCCTTCCAATTAATCCTGATGCATAAGGTCCACCACCCTGACTTGGAGAAATACTACTTTCTAGAGACTTCTGTTGAGACCACAGTCTTCAAGCAGCCACTGACCTACTTTCTGTCACCTACAGATAACAGCGTTTCCAGACCTTTATATAAATTGAATCACACAGTGTGTCTGGCTCTTCTTTGGCTTTCCTTTCTCTTGGATTTGTATGGAGGAAGGGACATGGCAGGACTCCATGAAAGGTATATGATTAAAGTTTTAGGAAACTGCCAAACCACGCACCACAGGTGTTCTATGGTTTGGCATTCCCACCAGGGGTATGTGAGGGTTCCTGTTCTTCTTGCCAACATCCGACATGGTCAGTCTTTTCAGTGTTAGCTATTCTAACAGGTGGGCAGTGGTATCTCATTGTGGCTTTAATTTGCACATCCCTAATGTTTGTTTTTCATCTGTTTATTTAATATTTGTTTATTTTCTTTGGTGAAGTATGTGTCTGTTCAAATCCTTTGCCAATATGAACTGGCTTGTTTTTGTTTATTTTTTAAATATTGAGTTTTGAGAGTTCTTCATATATCATGGATATAAGTCCTTTACCAGCTTTAAGAGGTGCAAATATTTTCTCTCAGTGTGGGACTTCTCTTTTCATTCCCTTAGCATTCTTTCTGAAGATACCAAAGCCTATTTTACCTTTTTTCTTATGGTTATACTTTTGGTATAATATTTTCAAAATCTTTTATTAATCAAGGTCACAAAAATTTTCTGATACATTTTCTTTTGGAAGTTTTATTAGATTTAGGTTTTACATGAGGTATTTGATCCATTTTGAATTATTTTTGTTTATGGTACTAGGTACGAACTGAGGTTCTTCTTTTTCTCTCTAGCTAGCCGATTATTCCAGCACCATTTTCTGAAAAGATTCTCCTTTGTCTACTGATTTGCTTTTATATTTGTCAAAAATCCATATATTTGTGAACATATTTCTGTTTCTTTCCTTCTACTCTGTTCCATTAATCTATTTGTCTATCTTATTTGAAATGCCACACTTAATTGAAATGCTCCACACTGGATTAGAGTATGTTTAAAATAAATCAAGAAATCAGATAGGGTTAGAACTCCAACTTTGCCTCATCTTTTTCAAAGTTGTTTTGGCTATTTTAAGTTCTTGCATTTCCAGATGAATTTTTAGATCAATTTGGCAATTTCTACACATACAACAAAGATATCTGTTGGACTTTTAACTGAAATTGTGTTGAATCTATGGATCAGTCTGGAGATAATCATAACCTTCACAATCTTGAGTTTCTAAACCATGAACAAAATGTATCTCTCAGTTTATATAGGTCTTCCTTAGTTACCTTACCAATGCTTTATCATATTAAATGTATTGCACATCTTCTGTAGATTCTTCTTAAGTACTTGATATTTTTGATGGTATTACAAAAGACATTGTTTTATTTCAGTTACTGATTTTTTTTTCTGTGTATGGATCTTGTATTCAACAACCTTGTTAAATTCACTTACTGGTTCTAGTGACTTTTGTAGATTACATCGAGTTTTCTACATTGACAATTTTAAATGTTAAATCCTTCACCCCCTTCATAAATTTATTCTGGAATGAATTCTGCTTGGTCATAATATATTCAATTTATGAAAGTTTTAAGAATTTTTACATGTATGTTCATGAAGGATATTGGTTTATATTTTCTTTCATTGTAATCTCTGTGAGTTTGGTATAATGGCAAAGTAGATCTCACAGGATGAGTTGGGAATAATTCTCTTCAACTTTTAGAAACTGTTTTGTGTAGAACTGGTCATTTTTTCCTCCTTAAATGTTTGATAGAATTCATCAGTAAAGTCATTAAGGACTGGGGTTTTCTTTGAAGAAAAATCTTAACTACAATCCAATTTCTTTAATAGACATAAGGCTATTCAGATTTTTTTTCTTGAGTGAGATTTGGTAGTTTTTATCTTTCAAGGAACGAGTCCACCATCTTCTTGGTCTCTTGGCTTTCCAAATAAAGTCGTTATTCCTTGCCCCAACAACATGTCTTTTGATTTACTGGCCTGCTGTGTGTTCGGAAGCAGAAGTTTGGACTCGGTAACACTATTAATGAGTTAGTCTCTATTTCTAGTCACATTCATTAAGATGGCAGAAAACTTAATCTTTGGTCAATTGTAAATATTCCCAAAACATATAGATTTGAATGCACATGTTTTTCGTCCACTTACTTTTTAGATATCCAGTCTCTAGTTCCAGTGGGCATATGCAGCGATCTCAAGGTGTGGACGGAAGGTACTGGACCGCCTGTAAACACATGGAGATTGGAGGCAGCTGTGATTTTAGACATAGTTGGAACTGTCCGTTGCTCAGCTCTCCTCGTCTGCCCGAGGTGTGCACATTCCCATGCTGTCCCTGGCAGTTTGGCCCTGGCCACTGCTGCTGCGCTGTCCCGCTCCCCTTGTTTGGAAACATGGTTCTATGCCCATGCTCACAGCTCTCTGCAGCAGCAGGAAACTCAGTGTTTGCTCAGTCCTATTCTGCCTAAAATCAGAATCACTCCACAACCATTCCAAAAGTGCAAATATTCACAATATAATACTAAAATTGGGCAAATCTAAAAACAATACTAAATATTGGTGAAAACAGAAGTACATGGGAGAATTGCTGGCATATTCTTTTTGGAAATTATATCAACAGCTTAAAATTTTATATACACTTACTTAGTAACTCCTAAGAGTATGCTGGCATCTAAGTACAAAGGTTTGTGGGTACAAATGTCTTCAGATCGCTTACAATAACAAAACATTTCTAATAAACATATTATTTAAATAATTTTAAATTTAGGGGAAAGTTGCAAAGATAATTCACAGAGTTTCTGTTTATCCTTGACCCAGGTGCCCCTAACATTAACATCTTACATAACCACAAAAAACATTTTATAAGTAACCTGAATGTTCAGATTAGATTATGACAGCTTTTTAATATGTGTTTAAAGACAGAAAAATTTATACTAAATAAAATTTGAAAAGGAAATTGTATTGTTTAAACCTATTTATACAGTATAATGTATACATAGCATAATAAAGTATAATATATAAAATATCACTCATCTTCTTCAAGAATTTGCCCAAATATCTCCTTCTCAGTGAGACCTACACTAACTACCTTACCTAAAATTGCGAACTGACCCGATCCTGGCACTTAAAAATCTCTTTTAACAAAATTTAGTAGTAATATTTAATATTTATTGTGCATCCACCACCCCTCACTAGAATATAAACTCCATGAATGTAGGGATCTAGTCTGTTTTGTTCACAGCTATATCCTTAATGTCTGCAACAGGCTTTGTTACATACTAATCTTCAATATTGAATTTGTGAATAAGTCTATTAATAATAAGTGTCAAAACTTTGGAAGAACATTATCCAAAATATTGACAAAGTATCAAAGGGATATTTATATCCCATCAGCATTTTCCTTACTGTATACATCTTCTAACGTTGATATTTACAGTCAGAAAACATATTTTAAGTGGATAGTTGCTCATGTATCATTGAAAAACATTGCTAATGGAATTTGTATGTAAATGGTAAGGAACATGTAAGTCCTTACACATACCAGAGCCTCAGCATTTCCTTCAGACTTCCATGGACCACCTCACTGCCTCATTTACTCATCATTGATCCCAGTCCGTGATGATTTCCATTATTCTTGCTTTTTTCCTCCACTTTTTCCCTCCTGTTAGACATAAAATGTCTTCTCTTAATATATCCCTCTAATATTTAATTTCTTCTTTTTAACACAAGGTTTTTCTTTTTCTTCTCTCCACCACTTCATCCTTCACTACACATACCATCTATCAGACTTTCATGCTCTTCCTTCTTTTACACATCCCATAGCTTGCATTAGATGAAACACTCACATCTCCTTATCAAGAAATAGATCTGTGTTTTAGTCACATGTGTACTCCCCATTGCCTTACACAAGGGCTGGCATAGACAATACATTCAAAAAAGCATAACTTAGGGGTAATAACAAAGGGTAATCTTATTAAGTGGACCTGAATTTTCAACTTGGAGCCTGTGCAGACCTCATTAAAGAAGACCGACATGCCCTTGTACAAGCGATGAACATTCAAGAGGGGAAATTCAACCCTTATCTCATTCTTGGATCTAGTTTCCCCAGATGCCCTGCATCATCTGCACTGAACAAATCCTCAGCTTTATTTTTCTAGCTTCTCTGGTCATCTACTTACTACCTCTTCCCCTGTTATGTCATCACCCTGTGCCTTTGTTCTAACAAATGTTTCCATCTTTCTTGGTCATTACTTGGTTAGACTTATTTTTTTTCTCAGTGAACTCACACTGGCAAATAGCTTTCTGATGGCTTTCTATTTCACACTTATAAGCAACCACCTCTCAGACAACCTGACATTTCCAGTGGAACCCAGAAGTTATACAGCAACAAGAATGATTTTCAAAACAAATAACATCAACTTGGCACCTGTTACATGACATAACCTGTTGAACACTTTGTACAAATCCTCCTAACAATTCTAGGAGCTAAGAATAATTTTTATCTCTATTTCAGAGAAGACAAAACTGGATCACAGACAGTTTAAATAATTTGCCTAGATTAGCAAGAAGCAGAAACAGAATCTGAATCCAGATAGCATAGTTTTATAGTCTGAGCTCTTAACTATGTGAGAGATTGAATCACTTTTCTCAGTTTTCCCTGAATCTGGCCTTGAACCCCATTACGATCCTTTAGACCCTTATGACTTATTTTCTGGACTATAGCAATAGTTTCTCAACTGGGGATCCTACTCGTGTTTCTTATCTTATTTCACATTTAAAAAATTAACTAATTTTTATTCCTAAAACTCAACTCTGATGGTGTTACTACTATGCTCATCAACGTTGAGCACTTTCACTTAACTACAGAAGTCTAAACTTTTATCCAGGCATAAACAGTGCCCTTCAAATTAACACAACATCACACAAAACTTTGACAAATACTGGGTACACCAACCAGACTGAATTGCTTCTGACTTTCTAGGCATGCCTGGTGTGAGAGTTACCACATCTCTTTCCTCCTCATGTGGAAGGTTCAGCTTAAATCCCATATTGTCCATGGCACCTATCTTGATTTGCCCAGTCAACCAACTCCTCCTCTTCTGATCTCATGTACGGCTTCGGTGGACCCTCTATGATCCCACATGATAGCCAATCTTGTATCTCTCTTGCATTAATTCATTCAGCAAACACAAAGCTATATATACGTGTTATCTTTCCTACAAAACTTTAGATTATGAGAGAAAGGGCTACTTTTTTCCATGTTGGTATCTCTATGGCTCTTAATTAAGTATGTTTCACATAGGTTATATTTAATAAATAATGACTGAAACAAATGTATTCTTCTGTTCAAAAGTTTATTGGATACTTTTCAACAATTTCTCCTAAATCAAAATTGTAGTGTTTCCAGTTGTGAATTGGTCCAATTTTTCTCCATCTTTAATAGTCATTTCTAGACAATAAGGCTGTAAACAAGACATTTGGAGGGAAAAAGTGGTCTCAGACTCTTCCCAAGCTGTTGTTCATCTGCACACATCTGTTGGTCATTATTAGTCACAGGAAAATGTCTAAGATTTTACAAGTTTTATGTAAGATATCCTTCAAAGTCTCTTCATTTTAGCCAACCAGAATTAGATCCTGGGTATACTAGCCCTTCCTATGTGCAAGAACTTGGCTCCCTGCTGCATCTTCCTGCACATTCTTTATGTAGGTAAAGCAAAAAAGCTCATAACCAATACCACACTGAACATAGTTCTGGGAACTCCAGATGCTCTTTTTCTTTCCTTCAGAAAGAAGAACATCTTACACATAAATACTACTTTGAAATTATCATTTTGGGGTTTTGAGAGATTATTTGGCTTTTAATACCATGTTATTAATGAACAATTGCATTTGGTAAAAATGATGGCCCCAATATGAAACCTCTCTCACTAACATTGACTCAATCACAAATACAAGCTCCTGAAATTTCATAAACATATAGAATCTTAGTCTTCAAATACTGCAATTGTTATTTGTTCATATGCATAACAATAAATTATTTTCAAGTCTGTGTGCAGAGCACATAGAAATGCATGGACACAGAATTCAGAATGATACTATGTTTAATGCAATATGCCATTTTTCCAATATTATGAATCACTACAAATAGGAGCTAGGAAAAAAATTAAATGTTATGTTCTCACATTATCTAATTGAATAATACACATTACTTCTTTTAACCAGATTTCTTCGTTTTTATTTTCACATGTGTATTATTCAGGATTCACAAGTATGTAAACAACAGAAAGCCAAGTCTTAATAAATAAAAACAGAACAATAAAATTATTAGTTTATATACTAGTAAATATGTACAAATAGCTCCCAAGTTTCAATAAATAAAAGAGCTGCAGACCTGAATCTTAGGAACAGAAACAAGAAACTCAAGGCGAATAAACTCTAGCTCTTCCTGGATTTTTGGTTTTGTTTTTGTTTTTGTTTCTGGTTGTACCTATGGTATGGAACATGGTTACAAATAATCTCAGTCCAGAAATCCCAGAAGAAAGGATGGTTTTATATTTCAATGCCTAGAAAGGAGACCAATTGATCTTCCATGAGTTATGTTATATGTTCACTCTTTGGACCAGTCACTGTGGGCAGGAGAATGTGGTAAGAAGAATGCACATAACTTGATAAAGACCCAGACTTCTCCCAAGAAAAAGCTACCACATTAATATACAACAACGTATAACCTGTTCGGGACTTCTGTACTGACGTCAGCCGAGAATGTGCAGGTAATGTAGGAGAGTAATCAGGAGAGTCCGTGCTTCACAGAGAGAGTGAGGTTTGGATGAGCAATATGGGAACTTAATAGTACGGTAATAATTTAGCATATATGGTGAGGTAAAATTGAGTGCCTGGGTACCAAAAGGATTAATCGTAATAGTTCAAACATTCTCTCAAAGCAGGAGATAAAATGTGCCGGAGCTCTCTATAGCTGGCGCCCCATTATCTGCTGCTGCAGATGATGCTCCATCCTGTGCAGCAATAGCCTCTTTACTGCCGTCCCTTGTACCTGCCTTCACTGCTTTTTCCAAACAGGTTTCCTTGATCCAGGTAAGGAAATGTGAGCCATGAAACCTTTTATTCTAATTCTGATTCTTATTATCTTTTAAATAAAACGTAACCTTATAGAACATAAATCACCTCTCAAAACATAGAAAACACATGAAAACACACATTAATTATGAAAAATCATCAATCCCTATTCAGTTCTTTTCGAACCTAGGGGTTCTTTATTTATGATCTAAAAAAATCACTATCAACTTCTTTTATCCTTCCAGCTATAAAATATTTTAATAGAGGATGTCATATAATTTAAAGAGGAAATGATCTCTCGTAGTTTAGAAAATACTTGTTGGGAGTTTTTTTTAACACTCACCACCAAAAACATAAGATTTAATTTGTCAGCCAAAGGCAAATTTCCAAAGAATGACAAAACCTATATTAAGTCACAGGCTGAGATTTATACAAGCTAGGGTCTGCTTAGTAGGATATTCTTATTTTTGATGAGTTTTAGACATTCTCCCCTAATAATTATCACTGAAGCCTATGGGTCTGTGGTCACCACACACCTAATGTTACAGTTAACGTTCTGATAGTATGGTATTCTTAATAGAAAAGTTATCCATATTATAGAAGTTATAAAATATATTTTAATAACAACTACAGTAGCATTCTGTGCAAAATGTGGTTTTCCTTGCTTGTATTCCCTCGCTTGTACCATGACAGTTCATCTGCGTGCCCGCCTAGTCTGGTAGTGAAAGTATAAATAGGGCCAGCCTCCCAAAGGGTTATTTTGAATTAGAAGCATGCCAACCCTTTGGCCTAGTAATTCAGCTAACAACAGAGTATCCAAATGAAATAATTAGAGAACCACACTATACACTTATTAAAATGTTTACTGTAAATTCATTTATAGTGCTAGAAAATGTCATGCTTCAAGAGAGTACATTCTGGCTACTAGAATAATATCCAAACAGAAAATGTTTTAGTACATTTTTTTTTTGAAGAACCTGACAAACTGATCAGAAGAACAAAAGAATAACATGTTACATAATAAGTTACTACAGAGAATATACAGCATAGATCCAGTTGAGTAAAATACGTATGCATAGGAAAAAATACAATTTTTGGTAATACCTTAAAAATAATTATCTTTAGTGGTAAATTCTACTTTTCATGTTACAAAATTTTTAAACTCAGATGCATCACTATTAGAATGAAAAGTTATAAAATTGAATCTTCAGTTATGTGATTTCATGCTCTACTATATTTACATGTACTCCATCCATGTGTGAAAAAATGTATGGAGATGCTTATGAAGACAGAAATAAGACAGACAGAGAACATTTCTTTCCCCCTTACAAAAAGGAAGGCATATGGGCAGGCATTATGTTCTGTTCATGAATACAGGGACTACAATTTGTCTATAAAAGCAGAAAGCAGGTGCAAAGATTCATTAAGGCTTTCTGTGGACAGAGTAGAGGTAGGAACATCTGGCATATGATGTACTACAAAAGAGAAACAAAGACCAGTTAGAAAGCTACTGAGGCAATCCAACGGAGAAATCCTGGTGGTTTGAACAAAGGTAGTGCCAATGAAGATGAAGAGAAGATGATGGTGATACAGTGTATTTTGAAGGTAGAAATGACAAGTCTTGGTGATGGACTGGGTAGAAGCTGGAAGGAGAGAAAGGAATCGAGGATGATCCCCAGGTTCCTGACTTGAGCAACTGGCTGGATGACAGTACCATTTAATAAAAGAGGAAAGTCTGGGAGAAAAAAAAGGTAAGATCAATTTTGGACGTGATAACTCTTGGGATCTCTAAGCATACAAGTGGATACATCAAACAGATTCTTGGACAAAGGCTTTGGAGAGCAGATACTTCAGCTAGAG